CTTAATCTTTTGTGCTTTCCCATCTCCGAAAAGGGGAAAAAAAAACAAACAAACCCAAAGCCCTGATCTCACAATAAGTGTTGGTGAAGTGCTTTCACATCTTCTGATGAAAGGTGCTATAGTCATGCAAAATATTCGTGTTAAATGGATTTATGCCTGTAGGAAAGATATAAGTAACTGGGACATCAAAATCCCACCATAATGTACTGCAAAGCCAGTTTGCATTTCACTTGCTTATTACTGTTAGAAGGAGAATAGCTAATACAGTAAGAGCTGCTCTCTGGAATATACCTGTGACACCAACAGGTGACAGGTGTTATTGAACAAAATCTGAGCTGACGTCAGACAGGTAGAGGACACTGTCACTCTTCTCATTTTGTTGGCATAATTCATTAAATACTTTTCACCTGTGACAGTTGCAGGTAAAACCCAGAGTAGAATTACTTGTCTTTACTAAACTGATTCTTGTTAATCCCTTAGCTGTCAGCTTTCAGCAGACATTCCATTTAGTTCCCTGCAGTACTATAAAACATGCACATTCTGTGACTGCATGGAATGTTGCTAGATTTGTTGTTTCATAGGTATATGTACATTATATACTCCAATGCATATAAATTCTTTAGTAATATTTTGGATTAGCTGTTATTCTGTGGAGCATTTTTGCAGGCACAACTTTGCATCTGCAAATAATTGCAACCTTCCAAATTATAGAAAGTTATTAGTGAGGTCTGACTGGCTGATTGTGCCAGCCAATCAAGTAATCTAAGTACTAATTTTTAAGTCTGAAAATCTAAAGGGCTGGCTGAAAATCTGATTATCTAAAACGTGTGGAACTATAGGAGTTTCAAGATTACAGTGTTTGATTTAGAGTTGTTATACTGATTTTTGCAATATAATGGTGGAGGTGGGTTTTTTTTTAATCTCCACGTCAACATTACTGAAATGCAGCCATTTTGAGAGTGGAATTTAATAGACATTAAACAGCACACTATGACTCTGCAGAAGTCTTCAAGGCGGAATGTGAAAAATAATATAATTCAACTGAAATACAGAGATGATTCTTATTGTAAATTGAATGTAATTATCAAAGCAGATTTTAGCTAAGACTCACAACACCCCGCCACTTTGTAAAAGGTTTTATCAGATTTTTAATAAGCACACTTGGTCAGGATCACAATTTTGTATCTCATTGAGGTAAAGACCTACTATTGGCTAATACCATGCTGTTTCAGTATTGATTTAAATGAAACAGTAATATTTACAGAATCTTCAACATCACTGCCTTGAAATATAGTTAAAATAATATTGGTCTAGCAAAACAGTCTCATCACTATATACTGTATGATAAATGTTGGAAAGATGGGATAGTAACTTGCAGATCCCCAGGTTAGATTGTAATTGGAAAGGTTTTCCTAGTTTAAGGACTGAAATACTGATGGGAATATTGGCCAGTTTTGCCCCCACCTTAAGTGTTTTTTTGGTTCTTAAATAGTCCATTGAAATCAAAATGCAAGTTACACTTTGTATGATTTGTGTTTCAAGTTGGAGGCATTGCATATAACTGAATGCAGAGTCTCACCGATGTGTTCGTCCATACAACACATACTTGAATATTTATTGTACCTGAAACAGCAAGACTTAGCAGTAGCCTTTATGAATATTTGCCTGTTAGTAATATCCCAAGGGGCAGATAACTGGTCTTTAATTTCCAAATGACATGTCTGTCAGATTCCTCAAAGGCCTGAAGGTGAAGTAAAAGTGCCTGTTCCTCCCTGAGCTTATGGGATACCGTTTAAACATTTGGCAACATGGTTCTTATCACAGGACTTACTCCATAGCAAAGCTTATGGGATATCATTAAAACCTTTGGCAACACGTCTCCTAGAAAGTTATTTTCTTAGTGACCATCACTTTAGCCAGAAAGGTCTTGGAACTCTGTTAGTGTCTTTTTATGCAATGTTCTTTAAAAATAATGTATATCTACATCCTCACCCATTAATGTAGCCAGACAGCCCGCCCCCATCACATCCATCTTATTTGCCTCTCTGAGGTTCCTAAAGCATACAGGACAGAGAAGGAGCGATAAAATCAGCATAGCCATTAAGCTTTGATCTGCTTTGATGTGAGATCAGGATATGCGAGTGTGCCCAGCTGGCACTCATGTTGATTCGAACACACACAGTCCCTGGAAGAGGAATTTCCCACTGAGAAAAGAATGCCCAGTACTTCCAATTTAGTTATCTCTCTTACAAGTGTAAATTAAGTTCACAACTCCCTTGTAAGAACTGGTCTCACAAAAGACAGACCAGCACCATTTGGCATGACAGATAAGAAAGAGAAATACGTGACCCCATGAGTGTAAAGGTGGTACAGCAGCACACTCTCTTTTGAGTGTCATTCTACCCTCTACCTGCTGGTCGGGTTAGGTGTTTGACCTCCCGAGGTTCTATGGGGACACCCACCTCGTATTTTCGTCTTTCCTAGGAATTGAGGGACCGACTCTGGCCTGACATGCTGGAGTCGAGAGGCACAGAAGGGGGTAAAAATTGTACCTGGATGTGGTCCTCTGTCTTAAGTGTACACAGACTTAGAGCTCTTTAAAGGTTAAGCTGTTACTTGGTACTATTATTTCTGTTTTTCCTATCTTTATCTTCTTTGTAACCATTTTTAAGATCTATATTTTGCTAGCAGTTAAGAAATAGAACAATAGCCATTGCAACCATATGATTTATAAGCTTCCTCAATATATCTGTAACTGTTTAAGCTTTAACCTGACTCCTTCAGTTGCTGTAACAGAACCAAGCACAATTTAAAAGAACTTCAGCCAGTCTTAAGGGACAGATATAGGGAGAGCTTGGGCGTTTGGATTTGTGTCACATCCAGGTGGCAGAATCCACTGGGGCATCTTTCAGTCTTTCCCCAAGGCTGCCCGCTGCAAAGGAATTACGAATTCTAACAGCTGAAATCTAAGGTGTTATAAGCTCTCCCTGTACACTTATTGGGCACCCGTCAACCTCCTCCAGGTTGCCTGCTGCATGGGACCTCGGTCTCAGCAGTTAAAGTCTCGGGTGTATAGCACATACACACTGCCCTGACCGCCGGCTGACAATTTCCTCCTGAAATAGGTTTCATGATTTTATAACAATCAGTCATTCTACCTACCTATCTATTCGAAGCTTCATGCAAATAGGAATGAATGTTATTTTTACTCATTGGACATTAGATGAGTCCTAAATTTCTGTTAAAAAAACTAAATCAGTCTCATGTTACACTTAACTCTTCATAGCTGTAGCTGACAGGACCATGGGTCTCTTAAGAGCTTCACAGACAATTTTGTCCTGAATTACTTCATGTATTTCACTTGTTATGGTCAGACAGGTGTTTCACAACTACCTACTCTGGCAGCTCATTTCACAAGGTCATTTGCATCTTCCGTAGAATTCCCAGCGCAGACCCCATTCAAGATATTTGTAAAACAACAACCTAATCATTACTGTTCATGTTCTCCTCCCATTATTCCATCACTCAGCATTCAGAGATGGTGCCAATTTAGGTCAAGTTATTCTGCAGTCCACGTGTCCATGAAATTTGATCTCTCAACTATTCATCTGCTCAAAAGTCACCTAGAGGAGAATGCTCAAGTTTAATCAGTTGAAGAAGAAAAAATGGCTGATAACTATCCATAACTGTTGTTCTTTGAGATATGTTCCACTTCACAACCTGCCCTTTTGTCCTTCTACTTCAGAATTTTCTAGATAGAAGGAACTGAGGGGACACAAAATCGACTGGGCACTTTTACCTGCATTGTTGGTACATGCAGGCAGGAGATGCTTGAGCTGTACCAGTATCTACCACTAAGGAAAAAATTCTGGAAACTCTTGTTGGTGCATACACACCTGAAGTGGAATGCATGTACACTACACATACTGAAGAACAACAGTTAGGGAACATTAGCAATTTTCCCCCTTGTATGTCACTAACAAAACTGCCCATTACCATGGAAACAGTATATGTAGCTCTGGTCTCCACCCTCTAGGACTTCCTGCAGGTAGATGTAGTGTACCCTGATTTATAGCTCTTCTCTTTGGTGCCTGGATTAAACACTTAGCTTCAGCCTTACTGCATAATGCAACAAGCCATGATTTTGTCTTTGAATCTTTAATTCATATTTTTTGCTATATACAAATGTCAGATTTGCCTAACAGTGTGTATTATATGGCACTGAATAGTACATTTTATGTGTAACAAAAATAGTCCAGTTGTATAAATTGGATAATCCTGTAATTGTTATAGGTCTCTAAACTAAAATACTGTAGGAATTCAGTGGTAGGTTAATCCTGCATTATTTAAAGAATAAATTAATATTATTATAGTCTCAGGATACAACTACGGGGTGTCAATGGAACCTTCTTTGTTTGTGATGTAAAAGAATATTGTTCTAAGTGTCTCTCTTCATGATGTGAGCCTTTTCCTAGTGAATTTATTAAGGTACTAACTAGATACACCCAGGTATGTTTTGGAGTTTTTTCATTTTTCATTTCTAAGAGAGTATCCCGAGGAAGTATTTAATCATCAGGCCTATTAAATGGGTAGGGTTTTTTCAAATAATATAATCATATTTGTTGTAAGTAACAATAAAACAAAGGATCATTCTGTTGAGTATTTTATTTTGTTTCCTTTGTTTATCTTTTTCCGCATAACTGTTTGGCAAATATAACAGAAATCTGCCCCTTCATCCCAAGAAGCTTTGATTGAGTCTGGTGTTGATCCCCAATATTACAAGTTCTGGTTTGAAAGTTTGAAGCAGCAGCAATTAAACAGTGGTAGGGTTGTGTGTTCAGAGAACCTGTGAAATACCCTCAGATGCGTGTCCTGTAACATCAAACTGAAGTACAGGCAGTCCCCGACTTACGTGGATCCGACTTACGTCGGATCCCTAGATACGAACGGGGTGAGGCAACTCCCGCACATGCGCAGCAGCATTCCCGGGGCTCGCTCACCTGGGTCCTAGGATCCTCCTCCTCCTCGGGCCGGCTCCGACTGGGGTCCCGCAGAGCTGCCGGGCAGAGGAAAAGTGCCTCCCCACGCCCGCTGCCCCCCCCCACCCCTCTGCCAGCA